AAAAAAAAAAAAAAAAAAAAAGAAGCCATGGTACTATACCAAGAGTGACCAAGTGAGACTTCTAGTACTGGATTCTTTAGGCCACTTTGGGAAGGGATGCTCTAGTTCCTATCTGGTCCTGAAATTTCTCTTCTCTAAACTCCATTCCCTTCAGGAATAGCAAACCACGAAATCGTCCATCATTCCGACAGATCCTGTTGCATCTGGACATTGCCTCAGCTGATGTACTCTCCACACCCCAGGAGACTTACTTTAAGTCCCAGGTGTGCTGTGGATAGGAAAATGAATACTGAGTCCACCTCTGATCCGAGATAATCGTATCCCTGTGAGGGGGAGGCTAGCAAAAAGGGGTGGAATAGATTCGCTCACAGAGGGCAGCAATCCCTATTCAATCCATCCCCACTTCCTTTCCCTCCAACACACATACTGGTAATTTGGAGAGGTGTGGGCAACCTGCAGACTTTCTACAGGACTACTGTGTAAAGGAATGACCCTCATCCTTATCTACTCCCACCCCCAGGCAGAATGGCGGGAAGAAGTAAAACTGCACTTTGAAAAAATTAAGTCAGAAGGGACCTGTTTGCACCGCCTAGAAGAGGAGCTGGTGATGCGGAGGAGGGAAGAGCTCAGGTGTGTGCCTGTGTTCAGGGAAGTGAATTTACCAAGAGAAAATGTGGACATCATTGGTTCTCAGAGACTGTGACATATTATGGCACAAGGAGAGCCTAGTTTACGTTGGGGAATCTTTCCGCCCTTTCAGACATGCCTTGGACATCAGGGAGCACTATGAACGGAAGCTGGAGAGAGCCAACAACCTATACATGGAACTCAACGCCCTCATGTTGCAGCTGGAACTCAAGGAGCGAGAGTTGCTCAGGTAACTCTGCCTGCCCCCACACCACAACCTGAACTGTGCCTGGCTGAGATCCATGGAGTCTGGGTGTCTGTTTCTGGTCATACCTGACTGAGAAGGTGCCTGGGATCTTTAGGCGGGAGCAGGCTTTAGAAAGAAGGTGCCCAGGATTGCTGAAATCACACCCCTCCCGGGGCCTTCTGCATGGGAACACAATGGAGAAGCTCATCAAGAAGAGGAATGTGCCACAGAAGCTCTCGCCCCATAGCAAAAGGTAGGTTACAAGTGCAGGAGTATGGAAGTTCAAGCAATGCTTAGTGGGGTAGAGATATGTATTATACTGTCCAAAGTTAGGGAGTGCTTTGAGTGTGTAAATCCAGTAATCTCAACCTTGTACTTTCCCTCCCCTACCAGGCCAGATATCCTCAAGACAGAGTCTTTGCTACCTAAACTAGATGCAGCCCTAAGTGGGGTGGGGCTTCCTGGGTGTCCTAAAGGCCCCCCCTCACCAGGAAGGAGTCGTCGTGGCAAGACCCGCCACCGCAAGGCCAGCGCCAAAGGCAGCTGTGGGGACCTGCCTGGGCTTCGTGCAGCCGTACCACCCCATGAACCTGGGGGACCAGGAAGCTCAGGGGGAATAGGACCCTCAGGCTGGGAGGCCTGTCCCCCGACCCTCTGTGGGCTCCATCATGACCTCCTGCTCCGCAAGATGTCTTCATCATCCCCAGACCTGCTGTCAGCAGCACTGGGGTCCCGGGGCCGGGGAGCCACAGGAGCTGGGGATCCTGGCTCACCACCTGCAGCCCGGGGTGACACCCCCCCAAGTGAGGGCTCAGCCCCTGGCTCCACCAGCCCTGATTCACCTGGGGGAGCCAAAGGGGAGCCACCCCCACCAGTAGGACCTGGTGAAGGTGCGGGGCTGCTGGGAACTGGAAGGGAAGGGACTTCGGGCCGGGGAGGAAGCCGGGCTGGGTCCCAGCACTTGACCCCAGCTGCACTCCTGTACAGGGCTGCTGTCACTCGCAGTCAGGTAAAGTATGGAAAAGGTTCTTGAGCTCTTCCCTTTTCCTTTTTACCAGGGTCCAAGTCTCATCCCCTTTATAATGCTCTCAATCCTAAGCCATTCCCTGCTTCACCCTGTAACTATTTTCCCTACTCCTGGATTCTTAAGGACTTTACATTTTTGATCCTGGTTACCTCATTCCTTCTGCAGAAACGAGGCATCTCCTCAGAGGAAGAGGAAGGAGAGGTGGACAGCGAAGTAGAACTGACTTCAAGCCAGAGGTGGGTGATGGGAATACAGAAGATGGTGGCACTCTTGTTCACTCTGCTACAAGGAGCCTTAACTCCTCTCTTATAGGTGGCCTCAGAGCCTGAACATGCGCCAGTCACTATCTACCTTCAGCTCAGAGAATCCATCAGATGGGGAGGAAGGTACAGCTAGTGAGCCTTCCCCCAGTGGCACTCCTGAAGTTGGCAGTACCAACACAGATGAACGGCCAGATGAACGGTCTGATGATATGTGCTCCCAGGGCTCAGAAATCCCACTAGATCCACCTCCTTTGGAGGTGGTCCCTGGCCCTGAACCCAGCACCATGCCCATGTCACAACAGGAGCTACTCAGAGGGGAGCAGGTGAGTTGCACAACAGAAGCAACCAAGTTTTACAGTTAGAAGCTGATCATCTGACCACCTTTGGAGAGACAGATCCATAGGCAAAAAATGTTTAGCCTCCAAATTAACTTCATTTCTGAGCCAGCTTCTTCCAATACCAAAAAGAGCAAACTATGTGGTAGAATCTCAGAGGCCTAAAGTATGATGCCTTACTACAGCTTGCACAGTAGCTATTAATTTTAGCTAGGGAGGGATCCTTAAAGCAGGACTCTGGTGCCCTGGAAAACAGCTAACACAACTCAAACACAAAGGCAATAAAATCACTAAGCTGCTGGCCATTAAAAATGATCCCAGTGAGGGACTCTGAAACAATCTCATTACATTTCTACTCTTCCTCACAGGGCCCTCCCAATTCTGAGGACTCAGACTGTGACAGCACTGAATTGGACCACTCCAACAGCGTTGATGCCTTGCGGCCCCCAGCCTCCCTCCCTCCATGAAAGCCACACTCATTCCCTGTACATAGAGAAATATTTATATAAATAATATATATGCGCCACATAATCAACAAAGAAAGATGGGGCTGTCCCAGCCTTTTAAGTCAGGCTCAAGGGAGACTGATCCCCTGACCAATTCAACTGAAAGACTCTAGGGACACTGGCAGCTGTGGAAATGAATGATAAAAACACTGCCCTAGAGCTGTGCATAAGGGGACACTGGCCCCTTCCTGCTTCACCCCATTCCTTATGTTCAGCAAGCAATTAGGCAATAGAAAAGCCACGCTTGTCTCTGTACTCTAACCCCAAATGCTGGGGGGCAGGAGAGGGAAACACTTAAGACTGCACTTTTCTGTTTACAGTACATTTTGCACTTGGGAGGAGGGAGACTAAGGCTGGGTCCTCCCCTCTGAGGTTTCTCAGGTGGCAATGTAACTCATTCCTTTGTCCCTCTCAATTTCTCTGCCAAAGCCCTGGCTTAGGGCCTGGGGGGAGGTTAGGAGACTAATAGCATGTGATGGCTCAGGCTGAAGAACTGGGGTGCTGTGTAAGTTCCTACTTTTATCCTGGTGCCTGACTGGGGTGGGGACTGTCATATTGTAAACCCTGTGAAAAACCTTGAAATATAACCACTCCATGCAGGCCCAGCTGTTGAGGGTTTTCTTGGTGAACGAGTGGGGTAACATTTATTGTTAAGACAAATCCTTGGGCTCTAGACTTGAGCTGAGGTATCTGGACAAGTTGCTACCCTTATGCCTCGTTTCTCACTAAATGAACATCATGTCAACCTCCAACTTTTAATATTAGTAGCATAAGAGATAGCAGGTGTATCTTTCTAAACCCAGTCAGATATGTGACCAGCTGCTTCCATGTATATGCATGTGTCCTCCTCTTCACCCCCAATGGACATGCTTGCCTACTCTCCAGACACAGCCTATCCTCAATCTTCTGGGCAGTTTTACAATGGCGAACCAAGCATGGGGTCAAGGAAAACAGGATAAAAGACCACAAAAAAAAGATGGAAGTGGTAAAACAGAAGAAAACATCTTAACTGGAATAAAGGCTTCTATTGAAAACCCAAGCAGGGTAGTTTGAGGGATAAAAGGTACAAAAATAACAGCAAGACAAGAGGAATAAAACCCACATGAATCACTGTGGCATCCAGTTTCTATTCACAAAGAAAAAGCTCCAGTCCATCTTTTAATTTTTTTTGAAAAATTCCTGACATTACAGAACTAAACTGAAATGTATTAATATTCCACTCTTACATTTCCATGACAAACAGAAAAATTCATGAGCCAAAAAAAAAAAAAACCCAAAAAAAAAACAGGGAGAAGCTTATAAAACTAAATATGGATGGATCTCAGCATTAACAGCTGAACAGAGAAAGGAATTAAAACGCTTTAATTAAAAAATCACGAGTGGATGATAAAGTGTGTAGAAACTGAAAATTTACAAACTATTTAAAACCTGGAATCGCTGACTGTTCAGAAACTACACAGATGGATCATGGGTGGTGGTGAACAGCAGAAAGGGATAATGGATGAATCTGCATTGTTCTAGCTGCTCCCCATGCCACCCGTCTCCGAGGAAAGCCTGACATTGATTAGATATTGAGCCAGGCTAATGCTGGCAGCAGATCCAGTGATGGTAACCTGCCTGTCAGTAGATCCCTCCACTGGGTTCGCAATTTTGATCTGCGCCCCAGACATCTGACGGATCTCATTGATTTTGGCGCCCTGACGCCCGATGATGCAGCCAATCAAATCATTTGGAATGGTGAGTTCATGAGAAGTAGTCTGAGCAGATGCATCCAAACCTGCCCAATAGCCTTTCACCTCTGGAGAGCTGGATTCAATGCCACTGAATCCGGTGTTGCCATGCGTCATGGGAAAATGAGACTGTTGCATTGCCAACTGGTGCAGCTTGGTCAAATCTGGCTGTGGAATGGCATACTGTCCTTGAATGGTATAGGCCTCTAGAGGTGGTCCCTCCAGGTCAGGGTTGAGGCACATGGACGGGGTGGTGTGGGGAAAGCTCGCACTGTCGCTGCCTGTGCTGTACCTGTCCTGACCACCTGCAAAGATGACTGGAGAACTGGAAGGCTTGGGCCGGTACGGGATGGTCACGCCCTTCGGAGGGGACTGGGAGAGAGTCTCCAACATGACCACGCAGATCTGTTTGACACACTCAATGATGGATTGCGGAGATGGCCCGCTCAGTTGAGTTGGGTAGCATATCCCCTGCCACCTGGACCTGAGCCCCTGTACTCTCTCGTATTTCCTTGATCTTGCAGCCACCTTTTCCAATGAGAGAGCCACACTGACTAGCAGGAACCACCAGCCTCAGGGTAACTGGAGGTCTACTGGCAGCTGTGCTATTGGTCATAGAGCTGCTGATGTCCTCTTCCAGTTTGTCAATGATCATAGCAAAGGCTTTGAAGATGGCATTAGTGGGTCCAGCCAAAGTGATAATTCTCTCAGGACAATTCCCTTCTGAGATGTTGATACGTGCACCACTCTCCTCACGCATCTTCTTAACTGATTCTCCTTTCTTTCCAATGATACTGCCAACTTCCTTTCCATGCATAAGTAGCCGGATGGTGAGAGTGACATTTAATCCACCTTCAATCACACCGGTATCCATGTTGAGCACTGTTCTGGGGAGCTGGACTTTGAGTGGTCAAGTCTTTGGTCACTGGTGGGGGTGAAAGCCAAAAACTGCAGGCGCGAGGCGACTGAGGGG